TACACACACGCATCCATATATGAGACACTTAAATATGAACATCAAATATATACATTTTATACATTTATATATGTAATTATATATGCACAATTTTATATGTATAAAGTTTAAGTTTAATTAAGTCATATATATATACATATATAGATAGATGGACACACACACACACAGAGACAGCTAGTGAGCATGTGCGCAAGAGAGCACAAATGACGTGAAGAAGAACATCTCTCTCTATGTATTCACTTCACTGGTTTTGCTCCTTTAGAGAACCTGACCTAAAGCTCTAAGTATCATAAATATAATTGAATCATTAATACGTTATTATTTTTCTATTTTCAGGGACCTTTCTAAGTGCTTTTAGTATGGAAAATTTGAAATTGATACAGTGTTGCTAAGATGAGCTTCTCCACTTATGAAACTTAAAATCTAAATTAAGATCTGAAACAAATTCATGTGTTGTTTGATGTCCATGATACAATCTATGAAATAGGACGTTATAAAATTTAAATGTTGTGTGAACATCATATGACAACAAGCAGTTCCTGGAATATTACAAATGAATTTTATTCCTAAATCTGCCTTAAAGTCAAATTCATATGTAAGTTGGAAGAGTTCAAACCAAAACTCACTTCCAGCCAGCCAATGCTTACTCAGTGATCCTCTGTGGGTTCTTAGGTCTGTAACTTTTGCGGGGAGTAGAAATCCCTGTCTTCTTCCTGAGGAGTGGCTGGTGGTTTCCAATTGCTGATTGTAGGGTTAGCAGTATACCACATAACCACTATACCACCAGGGTTCCTTCTTTAGGTACAGTCTAATGTCAGTTAGCCATATGTTTGTCTTAGTATATAGTATATATTGTAGTTTTCTATGTGAGACAGGGTTCTTTAGAGAAACAAAATCAGGATACTAATGATTGTATCTATATCTATCTATCTAGATATATACACTATATATATATTTATATATATATAAAACATAAGAAATAAACAATCTATAAAGCAGTACAAATGGCTCAGTGCAACTCACTTCCATGAGACAGCTAATATATTTGTAGTCCCTCAAGTCTTGAGGGCCGCCAGGTAGTCCTCTGTAGAGCAATTCAGGGTATTCAGCCACAGGCAGCAAACAGCAAGGCAGGTCACCAACAGTGAGCCAGATGACAGGGTCCGACAGTCCCCAGCTCAAGCAATGCATACTCCAGTAGCATGGTGAAGCAGATCTTGAAGGAACCTTAACCTACAGCAACCCAGTCCATGGGTTAGGTGTTCCACAGGTAGTGTAGCTTGCAAATTGAGGCAACAGCTAAGGCAGCCACACACTGGCCACATCACCAAAGAGCAAGAGACAAGGAAGGCGAGGCTTGCTGGTCCATTTATTTCTCCACCCTTCAATTAATCCCACTTGTGTTCATTGGCCATGTTGGCACAATAAACTTACACAATTTCTATACATACAAAGATTAAAGAAATATTTCCAGATACACTAAAACATCTTGAACTTAATGATACAGTAATAATAACATTTTGATACATTTTGCAAAGTAGTGCCTTTTT